ACAGACTTTTTACTCTCCGAATGAAATAAAACATGCTTCGAACATTCCCAGTAAGTTTTCCAATACATAAAAGTGCTGAAAAAATATGGTATTAAAAATGAAAATAACATGAACATCAGTACGATCTTTTATAACAGGAAAAACCGAGTAATTTTTTTGGAGTTTGCTCAGGTTGAAACACAGAATGGGTTTTTTTAATTTAATTTTTTTGGAAATTTTTATCTTCATTTTTTTTCTCGGAATTTCGTTAAACAAGATCAATTGAATTTAGATGATTTTTTTGTGAATATAGACTTTAATAGGCTCGATTCATTGACACCAATCAAAATTCAATTTGTCTTGAGGCTTGAGTAAACCTGAACGAAACACGAATTCGAGTCTTGAGAGGGTCTGAATGTAGAATTATCTGACAGAACGAAATAATACGCAAAATTTTGATAACATTTCAATTGACGATAGTACTGTGACATGAAAAAATAGAAGAAGATAATAGTGAAATAAGAATTAACAAACAGGAGGCCGAGCCTTTCTGTCAGAAGGGATGTGACCGCTACTTGATGCGTTATTTGTCTTTTTCGTTTTTTATTTCTAATTCCATTGGTAGTACACTGTTAAAATTTTTTGAAATTTCAGTAACAGATGCAGTTGAATTCTCGATATTCTGAACTTGAATTCAATTTCAGTCTAAATTGTTCATGGAATTTCGGATTCATCTTGAAAATTCAATAAAATTAAGTTTTTCATGATGAATGATCATTGAAATTTCAAGGATATTTTGGAGTTTCAAACCTATCGTGAAAATTAAGCAATACATTCAATAGAATTGTCAACAGATTGAAAATTCAGAAAAAAAGTTGCCTCAATTTTCCCAATCTTCAGTAATTTTCATTATCGTATGAACCTGAGAAATCAAATTTCATTGAATATTCAAGCAAATTGACTGATTTATGAATAACAAGATCAATGGAAATTCCATGTAAATTATTGGTTGTTAAAAATTTCAAGATTTTTTATATGAAATTTAAAGAGTAATTTTCTAACAGTGTAAGCTTCCGATTGCGTGGAAATTTTATTTTATAATTGAAAGAAACTTATTTTTTCTTGAAACAACGATATGTCATTTTATTTAAAAAACGTTTTTTACTTCAACTGCTCTATTTCAAAAAGTATTGAATCGATCAATCTGGAATTTTACACAGGAGTGCAACTCGCTGATACTAACTAGTCCTCAACATTCTAGAACTTTACCACATCCTTCACTCATGTAATGGAACGTAATGCAACTTTCAGTCAAGAAAAATAGAAAAACGCCAGTATCTCGTAAACTTTGTAGGAACGGGTATATATATTTTGAAAAAACTAGATAGGAGACATCAAGACGAATAATTAAAAAAAAATTGAAATCGGATGAATAGTTGTTGAGATATTGAAGAATATAGTTTTATACAAAAAATTGAATATCTTTAAAACTAATCATTCGATTTCGCCCATCTGAAATCCCAGCCTGTAATATAGTAAGAGCTAGAATCCTATTAAATTTCAATTTCCGATCTCAATTTTTTCAAGCGTTATCGTATTCACATCAATTTTATCATAAAAATGAAAAATGTCAATTACTGGGCAACTCGCATATCATAAGGCATATTTTGACGCCAAAAAAGTTAATTGGATATTCATTTGAAGAAAATTTTTTCGGAATCGCTGTCTCAAAAACTACTGGACCGATTGAACTGGAATTTCGCCCCGATGTGCTCCCAAACAATACCGATTATGAGGCAAAATTTCAGTTTTTTATCTATCACTTTAGTCCTTTTTTGTGAACAATTATAAATAAATTCCTAGAATTTTGCACCCACATACGGACGTACAGACAGACATTCTCTAAAAACATCATATCTCGACGTTTCATGACATTCTAAGTCATTTCCAAGCAAAATTAGAGAATCGAAAAATAGACTGGGCCCAAAGCTTCCATTCGGAAGCAAAAAAAGAGAACTCATTCGGCAGCAAATTGCTAATTTATTAGCAGCAATAACTATACTCATTTATTTTTAAAAATGCCATTATCCACTTGTTTTTTAACCCATCGAATCGTAAAATATCCTCCGCAAACAAGCATTTTCGCATTGAATTACACTTCGCTCCGCGATTACCTTTCGTACAGTAAAATTTGCCACGATTTTCTAGTTAATTGTTATCCAACTTTTCTCTTCGCGCAAGTAGGTCTTGCATTAAAATATTTTGGATTCGAGACTAAAAAACCTATCGAATAAATCGATTCCACTAGACTTGGTTTGAGAAATCACTTTCTCGTCATAAGCAAATTATCCTCATCTTTGCTCAAGCACAAAATTTCTAGAGGATGTTTTTTTTTCTCACAGTAAGATATTCTTGTCAATTTTCGAGACATGAGTTTCTTTCTACAAGTGACGACGCACTTCTCAAAAAACTTTATTTTTCTCATTGTAGAATAATCTTTACCAAACTTTACCAAACTCCGTGCAGCCGAAAATAAAGAAATCTTACCACTTGATGATTAATCCCCCTCGTAATGAATCACACGAATGCCTGCAACTCATGAAGAATTAAAAGCCCACGAGTGCCGGCGCAGTGCCGGTTGACTCCCAGCAAAGGTGGGTGAGTGTCGGGCGTCGCGCATAGCGTTCTACCCTCGTAACGATCGATTCGCAACATAGGGGCGGTAACCGACACGTTGACTGATATAGGGAAGAAAACGAGCATTCGTTGATAATTCAATGTGGGCCCTGCAGCGATTTCGTCCAATCTCGATGCCAATAGATACACCCAAAAAAAGAAAATACTTCTTATCAGTAGAAAAAGTACTTCTAATCAGTACCAAGGGGTTTCTGGGGAAAAGGCAAATTTTGCACTTCCTCGAAGTCACAAAAGAACTGGATGCAAGTATCATGCATCAAGTAACGGGTTACTGGTGAGAAGTACCCCGGTACTTGCCACAAGTACTCTTGTTACTCGGGACAAGTAAAAAAAGTACTTGTGCTGAGTACCTGGCTGGTTCTTTTCAAAAGTACCAACAGAACTCAATATAAGTAGCAATAGTATTCAAATCCAGTACTCATAATTTTTTTCAGAAATTCATTCAAGATTACAAATGAATATCCAAATGTTGGAGCACAAGTGAACGCACAGAAAAATCGGAAGGTAAAATACGTTTTTGAAACGGTAATTCACTTTTTCAAAAACGTAATTTACGATTTTCTCAAACGGGTAAATTACGCTTTTGAAATCGTAAATTACGGTCAGAATGACGTGAATTACGATTCTCAAAACTGGAAATCAATTCGGTTTTGAAAGCACCCACAAAAATCACAATCTACTGATTTTTTCCTACAAAATATCTTCTTCTGAACACTTCTATTTACAGAAATGCGCGAGAAAGCTCATTTTATCCATCGATAATATTCGCTTTTCTCAACGAAGTAATCAATTGAAAGTAGTGAAATGAAGTCATAGAAGTACTTGAGAGAAGTTCAAAAATTACTTTTCACCAGTACCTTTGGTACTTGTGAAAAGTACTAAAAGTACTAGCCGAAAATGGTGGATCTACTTCCTCCCACACTGATAGAACGGATTAGTTATTGTTAACGAATGGATTTTGGTTGGAGGTTAGGATCTTTTCGGTCCCACCAAATGTTCATTCGTTAATAGTTAACGAATGTACATTTGAGGAGCCTTGTTTGACTTGACTTTCGCCATCCAAGTGAACCATTCGTTAACTATTAACGAATATTCATTTGGTCATATTCAACTCTACCATTCGTTAATAGTTAACGAATCTCGTTTGGAATAAATGAATCATTCTATCAGTGCAGTAGTATTTCTACTTGATCGGCAGAGGTGGTACTTCACTCAAGGCTACAAAAAGTACTTGGAGCAAGTATTTTTCGAACTTTACACAAGGGAACTTCCCCCAAGTACCGGTCGGTACTGGTGAAAAGTACATTTTTCTTTGGGTGTATCACACGTCCGCGAGATTGATCGCAAGTTCGTGTATTATTCCATCGATTTCCTATTCAAGATCCGATATTCACTCTTTAATCGCACAATTATCATTAGAAAATAGAGGGATTCGGAGGGAAACGATGAGGTGGCATATCGTAGGGCAGCGGACGCTTATCGATTCTCGCTCAGCCCCTTCCACTCACTGCTGCTCGGTGACTGGACTTCCGGAAAAGCAGGGCACGGTCGAGGAAGATGAGAATTAACGAAGGAATGATAAAAAAAAAGGGGGCGAACAAAAATAATGTAACTCGTGTATTCTTTTCCACGAGAAGGAGCTTAAAGAGATAATGGTTAATAACCAGTGACCGAGTTTGAGATAATGAGGTTACTGGTGTCAGATATCAATTAGAACACATGAACGAATTGTGATATTCATTTAGAAAATTTCACAACACTGCATTGCAGTCAATACTATCACAATTCGGTAGTGGAGAGGATTAAAGATTAAAGTAAAAGTGGATGAGCGAAAAATTCCATGCCGATTGATATTTGACATTGATATTGACATTGATATTATTTAACAGAAATCTTTGAAACTAAAGAATTTGAAAATTAATTTAGCACAAATCTTGAACTATTTCTGTAAAACTTCTGAATTGAGAGCATTTCACAGTTTTTTTTTGCAGGAAAATCTTAAAATACCTAATAAAAGTAATTCATTTTCAAATTTTTACAATATATATTCTTCAATCTATTATAATCACAGAAAAAATATAAAACTTTTTTCACAGCTCACAAAATTGGCGAAGCCATCTTCAAAATAATCTGCGAGTTGAACACTAAACTTGAAATCCTGGTTTCCCATTTCACCTCTGGATCTAGACTAAAATAGAATAATACTTTTTTTATCTGCTCAACTGATCTCTCAAGCGTAAAACTCAGTAACACTCCACTGCCCCCGCTCATTTGCCCAATGTCAATTTCCACCGTTTAAAAAATCCTAAAAATGATTTTTTCAGAGGTGGCGCCAGCGGACACCCTGGGCGGTCGAGTCTCATGCACGGAGGCGAACATATCACCGTGTTTTTCATCGCTGACGGCAGTTACAAAAATGGTTACATCGACGAGCAGCGTCGATGAGCACCTGATCACCCAGTCCCCCTCGAATTACCGAAAACCTCATCATCCAGACAAGCAAGAGCCAGCAGTCACCTATTACCGTTCAGTCCAAACAACCCGGGACAAACGCAGTCGCCTGTCAAACGTCATAAACAGTCTCTACCGCAAAGTACCCCCAAACGATAGAAATAGCGTCGAGAGAAACCTCGAGACGCTTGAAAAATACGTAATGACGGTACTAAATGGCGTCATCAAGGACGCTGAAACCGAGGGAACCGATGAAAGTAGAAAAACCGACGATAATTGCTACAATGGATCTAACAAAGAATCAAAAATCATCGACGATGACGTTAAACAAGCCAATCGTTTGTCCTCGGAGCCGAGTGCTGTGGAACCTGCGATACCAAGTGTATCAATTGCCCAATCCAGTGAGAACGAAAATAATCACAAAGAGGAAATGAAAGACGAGGAAGAGAGAAAGAAGCGCATGTCAACATTAGCACTTGCATCATCCGACGATGACCCAACATCAATCACGGAAGCGGCAGTGACCAAGAAAGACAGAGTGGAGGCTGAGATCATTGACCCAAAACCAAAAGTCCAATCTCCATTAGAATTCCCCCTCGAGTATCCACCTGAGAATGCAACCGAAAAAATCCATACGATCTGCCGTGAATTATTAACAGACCTTGTAAATGAAATAAGTCAAACAATGGAGGAACAGCCAACCCCTTCAAACACTAGTCTCCAATGCAGTCTTCCCCTCGACAAAGTCGCCCCAGTCCTTGATATCTGCGATACCACCCCCCATTCATCAAAGTCCACTGTGCGACATTTGTGCCTATACTGTGATCGTAAATTTCTCTCTATATCCCTTCGTCAACGGCACACAGAGAGAGTACATCAGATCGGTGGTGGTAGACGAAGTGATAGAAATAGTAGAAAAACAAATTGCCAGTATTGTTCTGAAAAATGTACTGAAAATTTGGATGGTCTGTTTCACCACATGATTGTCAGCCATTCGGACAAATATCACGGCTGTATTCAATGCTCGACAAGATACTCAAGTAAAGAAGCACTTGTAGCACATACCAATGATACACATCCCAATGAGAGAAGTAGTGTTGGCCATCCATTTTCGAGTGAATGCGATACATCAGAGAGTTACAAGGAGACAAGCAAACGTGAGACTATTCGCTCGCAGATTAAGATGTTTACACCATTGAAATTAAACATGCTACCTCGTGATGATGCTAAAGAGGCGGGCTCTCAGGATTTTGACAGTGCATTTTATAATCACGTGTCTTGCAACATTCGTGAGAACTTGCTGCATCATTTGGACGGTAAACTTCATCCCAGTGCTAACTCGCTGGCATCAGCCACATGTTATCAGACGATTTTTTATGAGCCAACACAGGTGCAGTGCTCTATTGACATTTCCTTGACAGCTGCAACACCAGTAGATAATAAAGAATATTCCACCGGTGAATCCGAGAATTCCAGTGAATATGCACAGAGGCCGGGTAAAGTTAGTAGTTGTCATCCACGTAGAGTGTCATTTGAAAAATACAATTTTCCAAAGAAGTACGATGGAAAGGAGCCGTGGACTGGCATTGGGGATCTTAGTAAATATGATATATCGACGCAGTTGACACTGAGAAAGAAGCAACAGTTGTTAAAGGAGAAGTTATTGACTTTGGAGGCGATAAAGCATGATTTTAATTCAGAAGTATTGAGTGATGTGATAAAAGATTCAGAGGACAGTGCTGACATCTCGGGGTTGAAGAGTTTGATTGCGGAGAAGGATTTGAATGCTTTGGATGAGAATAGTGTATCGGGGACACAATTCACGAAGGAGTTTGGGAATTTTATAAGACTGAGGCGGTGGGACGATAGCCCTCCGGGGACTGTTAAGGATGTCAAGATTGTTTACGCGGAACTGACGGGTGAGTGGTCTAGGCCCAGGGTCTACATCTGCGGCGCTTGTTCATCGAAGCATCAGACCCTGAAGGATCTCGAGGAGCACAAGGTTCTCAGTCATCCGAATGTATGGTGCTCGCACTTGGAGTTCAGTGGCGATCAAACGGAGCTCGATAAGCATCTGGTGTTACCGGGGAGAGGGGTGTCGATTATGAAGGCTAAGGATGCGGTGTTGAGTGAGAAGATTTGCACCAAGTGTTTGAAGACGTGTGGGAGTCTCGCCGAACTTCACAAGCATATGTTGGAGTGCGGGGGCGATCAGACGTGGCTGCTTGGACTGTTTGGGAATGGGAAGAAAAAGTGCAAGTGGAGGCCCTTTGGGAGTAGGAGGAGACGGCAGAGGGGCATGAAGAGGAATATTCAGAATTCACAGGACTCGAAGAATCAGGTTAATAAGACGCCGAAGGAGAAGGCCGCTAGTGGTCCTAGGATTCGACCGAGTGATCGTAAGTTTTTCTCTTTAGGAAGGAATTGAGTTGAACTTGAAATTGTTTGCGGAGAAAAAGTTTCCGGTTTTCACGGTGCTGAATTCAAGAAACTCATGGCTTTAGAAGGCATGGTACTGAAATTTAGCCACTGGTTACTTAATTTCAGTGAAAAAATTCCTGATATCTCTATATTGTAAAAATCTAAATCGACGTCTGATAATGAGAATTTGCTGCTCGAAATTAAGGGTCAAAAAGAATGGGTCAAAATAAAGGTCACGAGGGTTATAATGAGGGTCAAAAGAAGGGTCATGAGGGTTAGATTAAGGGGCAGAAGGGTCATATTAAGCGTCACAAGGGTTACAAGGGTCAGAATAAGGGTCAAATAAGGGTCAGAAATGAAGGTATATTATAAAAATCCAAATCGTCTTCTGGTGGTGAAAATTTGCTGCTCGAAATTAAGACTCCAAAATTAAGGATCAGAAACGAAGGGTCAAAAACCAAGGTTTAGAAATGAGAGGTGATAAGCGTCAAAATAAAGGTCTCGAGGGTTATAATGAGCGTCAGAATAAGGATCACGAGGGTCAGATTAAGGGTCACAAGGGTCAGAATTAGAGGCGTGGGGGTCATATACGCCTATATGGGTTGGTGAGCGCAGTGAGCAAGGGGCGTAGCCCCCTAGTTCAGTACTGAAAAAAAAACTCGCAGAAAAATGGTTAATTTGAAAAAAATACATTTTATCTCAATCAAATAAATCATTTATTTGATTTCAATAGAGGATTTATTCGATTCAAATAAAGTTTATTTAATTCAAATGAAGTTTATTCAATTCAAATAAACCATTTTTGTCGGTGTACTGAGTTTCAGTGAGAAAAGTCCTTAAATCCAGAACACTGGGGTTCTTAAAATAAGTACCCTGGGGTTCTTACATGGACATATTTTGTCTTTTTAAATTATCTTCGTTAATTACGGCGTTATGAATCGTCCTAAAATAGAGTCGCCGTCCTTTCTTATTCGCGTGACGTAATCTTTGAACGCCCCCAAAAGTTCTTAATTTAAGAACCCCAAGGTTTTCATGTCAAGCACCCAGGGTTCTCATTCTGGAACTAAGAATGCCTTGAAATAAGAGAAAATATTCCTTAATTTAGGTACAGTGGGGATTGAATTTCAGTGACATTTACTGAGAAATAAATAGAAAGACCTTTTTTCTCTGCCTGTCAGAGAAAATTCTCTTAGAGTGAAGGAAAATCGCACTCAAATCCCCAAATTGTTATTGAAAACCAGAAACTTCTTTTCTCTACGAGTATCTTGGAGAAGATATTCAAATGATTTTCTCATATGCCACATTTCCATTAATTGCAAACGAACAACAATTCTCGTATTTTTGCCTTGAGCCCCTTATCATTGAAAAAATTGAATTTTCATTAGAATATGGAAAATCGACTTTTCACATTCCACCACTTCACACATTAACCATTCGCTCGGTGACAGCAACAAACCCATTGATTACTAGACTAGAATTTCCATAAACTATTCATTCACCCTTAGACAATGTTCCAGAACAAAATTACATAGCTCGATGAAATCACGCTCAAAATAACAGTAGATAATTCAATGAATGCCTGAGGAATTAACAACTTAATCAGAATCTATCAACCAACCAAAATATCCCGCGAAAGGTCCCCACAAATTCACCTAAGCCCACTTCAACCCGCTGTATACACCATAATCTGCATGTCATTTTTCGACTTACCACCTTTTACCACTTCACTACTAAATTATTCATGGATCAATGATAACAACCCATCCATAACTCGACTACAATATTTTGAAAATACCCCCTACCATTGACAAATTTTCCGATACAAAAACGAATAAATATCCGATGAATATCCAATAACACATTGTAACCCATCCCACCAAGGCTCAATACCCAAATAACCCCATTTATTAAATCGTTTTTTTTATTAAAGGGGAAAGTATCGAGAAAATGCTCGCCAATTTACCAGCGAAGCGTTCAACCAGAAAAGTCACGCAGGAGATTAATTTACGTTCGCAGGGACGCCTGTGCAAGGTAAGATAATCCTATTACTTAAACATATCAAAACATCACCCGTTACCAACAACATTAAATTCTGTTAACAACGCATCAGTGTCGCGCAAAAGACGACACATCATGAAACAAACCGGTGTATGTGTGAGTAGAGTATTGATCAGCTTTTGCCACCGCCATCCTCCTTCACATACACGTGTACACGGCAATATTCACCCCATATTTTTGTTGTCTGCCACGTCGCCCCCCAAAAGTCCCTAACCCAAAACTATTCTTTATGATTTTTTCTGAATAGATTCAAACGAGATCGAAGCAACGAGGAATAGAAATCACCTCGAACTCTCGTCTGTCCCGCAAAGCGGTGCTTCGAAACAAACTGATAAAGAATGCCAAGTCCTTCCAACGTAAACGCTGTCGCGGGGACAATATCAGTGCAGCTATTGAGAGTGTAATCAGTAATTACGATGTTAACAGTAGGAGAAGTAGACTTAGCGATAATATCCGAGTTTCATCGGTGAATGGGAATGAGAGAATTTACAAGAACGTGACGGTTGTCAGTAAAAAAAGGAACATTAAGATGCAGGGAAAGTCCACTATAAAGTCGCTGAAGAATCGTAAAACTTCGTCTATCAAGATGGTGACGGTTGAGCCAAAAATCACTAGGTCAAATACCCAGAATAAGCCGCAGGAAGTTGATGCACCAGTGAGGAGACGAAGAAAACCAGCTGATCCGCTGGCGTCAATGAAGGCTAAATCTCAGTTGCGTAGTAACGACGGAAAGTTTGCTCGTAATCCTGTTAAAAACGATCCAACTTCATCAGATACTCAGTTAAGCTCTTCTAGTCATTCGAGTAATACACAAATTACAAGGAGTAGTTCAACTCGTTTGGCGCCAAAGTCCAAGTTCCGGGAAAGAATCAATGTTGGATTATCGAGGAGAATTACTCGTGTGTCCTCTGATGCGGATAAAATGCCGACGCTTGAGCCAGCTGATAAATTGACATCACACCAAGTTGAAGCGGCTAAATCTTCTAATGAGTTACCAGTTCTGGTGCCAGCTGCTAAAGTAGCGGCAAGGGTGCAGAATTCTTCGTTGAAGCAGGGTCGAAGCAAGCAGATTGTCAGTATCAGGAAACGGGGGAAGAGGCGTACATTAGTGAAGACTATCGACAAAGCAAAGCAAGAAATTGAGCAAAAACCGCAGGAAACTGCAGAGAATGTCAAAATCATTCGAACGAGAAATCGAAAACCTCAAGAGGTTCAAAAACCCGATAATGTGAGTGAGAACACACCGCAAATCGATCCACCGAATAAGAGAGCAAAATCATCAACGGGTAACACCAAAAAAAGCAGATCAAATTCACCGGTCAAAAAAGGCGAATTCAAACGAATGAGACGAAGCCGCAGGACCTCTCTGGAAGACGTCCTAAAATCGACAGTATCTTCTTTCGAAGCCCTCATCACACCCAGCGTTGAGATCAAAACTCCAGTCGGAAAAATCAAAGGAAACTCGAAGCAATCCAATCAAAAGACCATCAAACCAAAAACTCTCAAAGGCAAGCGGAAGCCTCAAGCAGAAGCTCCGGACGAAAAGCGAGATATCAGCGCAACGCGAAAATCTCCCCGAAATTTGGAGAAGAAATCTCCCCCAAACCTCGATACCCCCTCTATAAAGCCAAGCGATGGGCCCTTGAATCTCGAAGAAACCCCCAATCAAGTTGAATCTAAAGAGCCCTCAGAATCACCCCTTCTTCAACCCCAAACTGATTCTTCCGAATTAAAAGACAATGCCTCCCTTCCACCCGTAAACGAACCAATTGTCGCTCCCCAATCGCCTCCAGCCCCCGAAACCTCCTCGAAACCCCAGTTCAAACCAGAAATTCTCGAGAAACCCGAGGAAATCCCCGAAAAAACCGAGGAAATTCCCGAAAAACTCGACGAGGCGACGGAAACCGCTGAAAATCCCCCGGAAAAAGAGGATGAGCTGTCCGAACTAATCGAAAAGCAATCATCCCCAATAGAACTGGTAAACGACCTAGTCAGCCTGAGTTTCGAGCACCTCCAGCAGGAATCTAGCAATTCAAACATCGACAGTGGTAAAGAAAATTCATCAGAGACTCCAATCAACATCACAAAATCAAAAATACCAAAACCAAAAAAAGTACGGGGACGAAAGCGTGATGGCCAGTCCAAACGTACCCTGAACAATGTCATTGGGATTTTAACAGAGGGAGTCAATATTCCCATTGAGGTGCAGCAGAGTGTTGTCCTTACAGTCCAAACTTCGATCGAAAGCCTCAATTTACAATCGCACAACAGTAATATGCAGAGTGAGGGGAGTAGAGTTGAATTGGGGGATAATAATGCTGCTAGTGGTGCGTCTCACAGTATTAATATTAACTCAACCAGCGGTGAGGCCAGTTTATCCGTGGATTCAGTTAATAAAGAGAACAATGACAGCGATTCAGGGGCTATCGAGGGACTGGGGGAAAAACCCAGTCAGGAGGCAAGTACTCCGTCGGGAGAGGTGCAGTCGAGTGAATCTCAGATTAAAACAAATAACTCCAGCAACAATGCGCCCTCTGGAACAAACACGGTTGAACAATTCTCGAATGACATTATTCTGGATCTTTCGCGACGTAAGCAGAATGGAAAGGGCTCTTTTCTCGAGAAAATTGTCTCGAAAATTGCCAAACAAAAAGACGTGCTTCTTGATAACGATGTTGGATCACTATTGGATCACGCAGTTGATGAATTGAGTATAATTCTCGATGATGTCGGTCCCAAGTCTGTCGACAACGAAGTCGAGGGGGGATTGAAGTCCCCTAAACCCTCCGAAACCCTCCCAAAACCAAATGAATCCAAAACAGAAGATGTAGAACCACCAAAAGAGAACGAAACCAAAACCCCCGAAAGATCAATTTCTGATAAAATCCCGGAGACGAACGAGAGCAATAAATCGGATGAGAGTGTACTCGCTACTCCACCCACTGCGAACAATACCCCAGCTCTGCAATCGATTAATCAGGATGAGTCCCGAGAAATTGAACGTACGTCAAAGAAAAGATCCTCCGATGCAACTCTTCCAACAAAGAACAAAAGAAAAACTGTGAATGAGGACGAAACACCAGACGCCAAGATAGAAGATGAGTTGTACCTCTCTGACATCATGAAACTGATAAATAGTACGCCAAAGCTCACCTCGACACCGATTAAATGTCCCGATACAACTGATGAAACCAGAACTTCGAAACGAAAAATCACGGAAACGGAGGTGGACAAATCGAGTGAAACGACGAATGGAGATTCATCAGTGGAATCTGATCCTTATGCAACTGTTGGGAGTAAAAAATCACGGAGGAATCAGAGGGGTGTGAGAAAGGTGGGTAAATCGATACCTGTGAACAATAGAGGTAGACGGAGCAATAGGAGAAATACGCCAGTTACTAATTCTAGGAATATGAAAATTGAGACAGGAGAATGTGAAGTTGTCAGAGAGGAGGAGAAGTTATCGCTGGGGAATGCTGGGGATGAGGATAAAATACCCGAGGACCCAGTGATATTAAATAAACCCGAGAAAATCGATGAAACAGTGCAGGCGGAAAAATCTCCTCCTGATAATTCCGAGGAAGTTCCTCTGGCACCTGAAGAGTCGAAAAACAAAGAAGTCAGTGAGGAGGAAATTGTCCCGGAGAAACCAATAAAATCGAAACGTCGAGGAGCCTCGAAGAAGAAATCACTGGCCGATGAACACCTCGATTTATCAGACGACGAGATAAAACCTGAGGAGAGTTTAACAAGTAAAACAGAGGTGGATTTGGAGGGTATCGATGGTGATAAGTCTAGTGTCAACACGAGCGATCACTTGGAGGATAAAAGATTGAGTACAATGAATAATTCCGAGAAGTCTTTCCTTGAACAAGTGACGCCAGATGTTGCCACTGATTCATTGAGTAATGCTCCGATTGACGAAAGAGCGAGAGAGCTGTCACCGGTGGTCCACAAAGAGCAGAGGTCATCAAAGCGGAAGAATAATCATGGGAAGGCGGAGGTTCTAGAGACTGAAGTGCCTGAGAAAGTGAATGATGCACCTGTTCAAAGGAGACAGACATTGAAACGAAAAGCTAAGGAGAATATATTCCTCATTGAAGAATTACTTGACTTCGGGGACGACATTGATAGTCCTTCAGAGGTGAATAGAGTCAAAGAGGACGATAAGAAAGAGGAGTGTGTGGTGGATGAGCATAAGGAAACGGCGGATGAAGGTATGGAAAGGGCAGTGGACGAGCCAATTAAAGAGCCTGATGTTCCCGAGGTATTGAAGGAAGTAAAAGAATTGAAGCCATCAGAGCCTGAGGAAGCATCCACCGAAGACGTCTCGACGACCAATCAAGAAGTAATCAGCGAGCCAAATCCTCCAGTTTCAGCAAAAACCGATGCAATTATTGCTGAGCCTGCGATCGATGACGAGACTCAGAGCCCAAAGAAGAGGGCCTCAGGCAACTTCGCAGTGGTTCACACAAAATCCGGAGAAATCCTAATAGTCGAGAAGAAGAAGAAGTTCACGAAAGAAGCGGCTAGATTTTTCTGCGACGTGTGTGCCACGAGTTTCACTCGCAAAAGTTCCCTGAAAAAGCATAATCTGTCACAATCACACATTTTACAGGTATCAAAGTGCAGTAACGAGCAGGAGTCATTGTCTCTCATTGAAACAGCTTCTTCCGAAGTTAAGAGTTTGGAGAATTCCTTTATTCTCGATGAAAATCCAAATGGCAAAGTTTCGGTGAGCGAAGTGGTGGAGAAGAGGGCGGAAGACGTGGTGCTTGAAGTACCGCTGGCTAATTCAACGATCGATACCATCGAGACGGCTGTGGAGCCCGAGCCCTTCAATTCCCAACTCGAGGAGGAACTGTTGGACGAGGAAATTTGTAAGATAACAGAGAACATGACGCACGATGAATACGTTCTTACTGACCATATAAGCCCCGAAGGAGAGGAGGTAGAGACACTGGAGAAAGGGGTCAATGACATTGAGACACTTGAGAGTTTGAAGTCAAAACAGAAGGTCAATTTGGCTAATGAACACTTAGAACTCGAGTCACCGCGTTTTACACCTCAAGAGCTTAAAGCTAAGGATCAATTAATGTCACCAGCATTAACCACAGAAGAGATTGCTCCCTCAACTGCGATAACTTCTCCAACATTGGAGAACCCTAAAATGTCCCTGGACTTTTCCAACATCACGGAGAAGTTGAAAGGGAAGAAATTCTTGCAGACTGAGCAGAAGACCTCGAGCATTGATTTCGAAGAGGACAAAAGCCTTGAAGAAGAGAAACCTCAAAGCGAAGCAGACCTGAACACTTCAAAAACCATTGAAGACATAAAAATGGACACCCCGATCTTCGACTCTCCCCCCAAGAAATCAAAACCCACGCCCGAAAAAGCCGCTAAAAAATCAAAAACCCGTAACAAAAGATCAAAGAAGAAATCAATAGCTGAACCTATTCTCTCCCAGAGTGAAGACGATAGCGACACCGAGAACGTGAAATCCCAGGACAAAAATAAAATAGTGAAAAGTGTTTTTGGTCGTGCCTTCACAGGTGAAAAGCTAGACAAAGTGATGGAAGTCCTCGACGACTGGAATTCAAAGTCAGATAGTGACTCTCACAACGAGAAACCAGATAAAAACAAGACAGTGAGAGAGGCCAGAGACAAAGCCACTGACAAGACTGACAGAGTTCGTAAATCGAATAAACAGAATGAACCCTTTTCCCTCGAAATTAACCCCAGATGCAGGCAGAGTAAGAAACGCGCTGAGGAGAGAATTTCCCGAGCATTCGAGGAGGAATCCATTCCCTACGATCTGACATTTGACTCACCAGGAAAAGAATTGGGAATGAAAAATAAAGCCACCGAGGCGCATCGAGAAACACCAGATAACAAGGAGGCAAAAGCCAAATCCAAATCCAAAAAATCTCCGGAATCGGATTATCATGAGGAGAGGAATAAGGAAGCCTCTTTACCGATGTCGACTTTTCCCTCGACTCTAAAACGCAAAATTATGAATGAGGAAGCTTCGCTGCCGGATACAAACTCGATGGAATCGATACACACTCGAGTGCCGAGTTGTCCACGCGAGCGTTCTTCAACCCCTGACCTCATTTCCGTAACAACGAGAGGTTCTTACAACGAGGGGGATGATTTCATCGGCGGTGGGAATGAGGACGATGAGGATGATGATGAGGACGAACACATGTCAGTGCGTGGACGTTTGTCACCTTTCTACGCGAGTAATGCACCCGAGAGTTCTATGAACAGTGGAACGATGTCCACGAGCAATCACGTGAACAATGATGGCTTCATGGAGACGAGGCGGGGAAATTCGACGGAATTTTCAGGTGAAAAGATCGTGATAAGATCACCGGTTCTGTCGAGTCAGGAGAGCTGTCCAGGAGTCGTTACGATAGCACCCACTGACGCTATTGAGGATAATGCCTTGGATGTGCCTCAGGAGATCACTGAGATGAAAGAGAAACCTGGGATCCCGAGACAGGGGAAGGTTCTTAATTTCGATGAGGAACTGTTTGTTGAGTGCTGCTCGAGATTGAAAGCCACTACTGAGAATGAACTGCGAGGGGCTAAGAAGATCAAGCTGGACCCAACTGATGACTATCAGAGCAGGGATGAAAACACTCAACAGTCATCGCAGGGCCCTCGACAAATGCCGGATAGGTGGAGGGATGTCGAGAGCCAAAATAGTCTGGGGAGCCTTCTGGAATCAGTTAATCAGGTTTGTGATCATCATTTTTTGGGTTTTTAGTATTTTTTATTTGGTATTAGGTTGAGTTAATGTGAGAGCTGTGAGGACAGGGGGAGAAGGGTTCAGAGGGAGAAAAAGTTTCTAGTTTTTAGAACAAAGTTATTAATTTTGAGATATTGTTCTAACATGCTTGCATCGTTCAAATCTTCAAATTTAGTGCGATAACCCTGTTTATTTCAAGCGAAAAATGTTCTTAGAATAAAAACATTTCTGTTTTCAAAGTGTGAACTGTAGTGTGAGAACTGTGAGGACAGTTGGGTGGAGGAGGGTTCACAAAGCAAAAAAGTTTCTACACGGAGAATAAAGTTAGAGAAACATCACCGAACAAGTCAAGTAATCATGGGGCGAACTCGATTTTCAGTACTTTTTCATCCTATATCGGGGAAAAAGTGCGAGACAAATAGTGAATATTTCTCTGTGAGCCCCGGAAAATTTACTGAACGTGAGGGTTATTTGTGCCAAAACGGTTAAATTTATCCTCCATTCCATAAAAAATTATCCCCGTGAACGTGAATGATTGCTCAATATTGCGTGTATAATGTTTTTGCAACGGACAATGATTTTTTACCGTACGCGAAAAAAATTGCTTACCGGTGTGAGAAATTTTACTGTTACAGAAGGATAATTTTTGCATCTATAGATGTTTTTTCATAATTTGTGTGTAAAGTTAAATTTTACGTACACTCTAGATGCGCAAAATCATGCTTTCTACACATTGATATGAAAAATAGGATTCGATACTCGTGGAAAAAGTGTTCTTTGATCCTTGGGAGTAGTACTCGCCTTAGGTGAGCGCTACACACCTCCCACTGCTGAAAAAACACTTTTACGACTTGTATCGAAATATACTATTAACCCTTAAGTGAGGGAATCCCCGCGAAACCACACACAACCAATAGGGCGCCACTGTAGAACGAATGAAATGCTAGAAACGCGTGACACTCAAGGGCCAAGAAACTCATTGTTCTAACATACTTGCGTTGTTCTTAGGATAAAACACTGTTTACCAAATTGCTGAGGAAAAATCTTCAAATTTAGTGCGATGAGTCTGCTTGTTTCAAGTGAAAAGTGTTTCTAAAATAAAAACATTTCAGTTCTTAAACTGCGAACTATAACATGAGAGCTATGACGACAGTTCGGCGGAGAAGAGTTCACAAAGAGGAAAAGTTTCTAGTTTTTAGAACAAAGTTGCGCATTTTAAGGAACTCATTGTGCTAACATGCTTGCATTATTTTTAGGACAAAGCACTATTTACTAAATAGCTGAGTACAATCTTCAAATTTAGTGCGATAAGCCTGTTTATTTCAAGGGAAAAATGTTCTTAAAATAATAAATTGGCGGTTCGTAAGCTGCAAACATTTGAAAGAGCTCAAGTTCAGGATTGAGTATTAATTCAATATGAAAGTTAACGATTTCGATTATTGATTGTCTATTAATGATATATGTTTGATAAGGAAATAGTTACGAATTAAATTGAGAGATACTTATAAATTTCAAAGATATTTAAAAAGACGCTTAGACCATGAGTAGAATAAAATTATTTAATTTTTTAAGTTATTTAAGAAAGTTATTTAATTTCAAAATAGGATCAATTGCAATTTCAAAAACAAGAATATTTTATCAATAGATCGAAAGCTCTGAATTCGAGGGCCAAGATTTCAGTAAAATAATCAAAAATTTGGATTCACCCAAAAAATGATACCTTATTTTAAGCTTTCAAAGTTCTCAAAATAAAGATTTTGAAAAATCTCAGTTTGAGACTTTTAAATGCCTTAAGTTAAGTTTTCCAGAAGTCAACTTGAAGTTTTTCTTTACTATCAGAAATCAAGAAATACTTTTGAAAGTCTTAATTTGAGACTTGAAAATTTCTACTTGAGATTTTTGATAGTCTCAACGTGAGATTTTTCAAAGTCTCAATTTGAGACTTTTCAAAATCTCAATTTATGACTTTTAAAAGTCTTAATTTCAGATCATAAAGCTTATTTTTTGGGTGTTAATTTAAGTATAATTATGCTAGGTTCAATTAATAATCATTGAGAATTTCTTTTTTTTACTTGATTTTCAGAGAAAGTCTTCTTATAATAAGAAAAAATTTTGCATATTGACTATTGGAATTTCGAGATTTTTCCTGGAAATTCGAAACTCTTTTTCTCTTTGCTTCTTCTATCATTCGAAATAATCAGGAATTAGATGTAATGTCGTAGATTTATTTTTCACTGAATCTCAATGGCTCTATTCTCAAAGCCAAATTGTGATCATCAATGATTTTTATAAAAATTTCCTCAAGTTGATGAAAAAAAAGCATAAAAATGCAAAAAGATATCGTCATTTGCAGCTTTCACATTACCTCAAAACCCAAAAAAATCAAAATAACTATTGACCAATCGAATACACAACGCAAGATGAACATTACTTTTACTTTTACTTTCTATAAATAAAAGTAACATGCATGATTAATTGCGAAGATAATTGGGTCTGATAAACACAAACTAACGAGTAAATTAATCAAATTTTACTTACTAGTGGTAGATAATTATCTCACTGTGTACGTTACGGAAGAAAAATTGTTTGCAGGAGCAATGACCCAGCTTTGTACAGATAATATCTCTCAGTATGCATGCAAAAGGTAGTCAATTTAAACCGTTTAATTAACACGTATTAACTCACATCAAATTTGGTACATCTGCATTAGTGATTTTCTGTTAATTTTATTTGTATTCTGAATGATGTCGACAGCTTGATTAATAACTCGAGGGACATGGTAATCGAGAAGTGATTGTTGTGGTCGTAGTGAGATTATGTTATCATAATGATTGGATTTTCAGTAGCTAGCAGAGGAAATATTTGAGTCGATAAATGAGGTAACGTGTCAGGTAGTGCCAATTGATGCAATTTTCGCGATGTCATGTACGAAGAAATTTTATAAAAACACCTAGCGAATTCATTGAAATGTTCTATAGGATTCCTATTGGCTTTTTTATTAGTTTCTGGCCGATTCTATGAGACAATTTTTATTTACCTACGTGTTTTTTTTGGATAGAAATGTTCAAGGGAAAATATTCTATAGAAAAAATTAATGGAATTCGATTTTTGTATACAACGTATTCTAGTGAGATATTTTCTAGAGAAATTCCTCGCGTCAAATGAGCTAAGTTTTTTTGTTAGATTTTTGTACTGAATGAAGGAGAAGAATAAAGTAAAGAAAGTATGAAAAATTGAGGTCGAAAAATTTCTATAGAAAATATCTCAACAGGAAATAGAATTTTCAGCAGAGGTTTAATAGAAATCCAATAGAATTTTCTATCCAATTTGTGTGTAGTATTATTCATTAGATGAAGGATGAAACTATTCTATATAAAAAATCAATAGAGTTCAATTTTTCTGGACAACTTATTCTATTAAGGTATTGTCTACAGAAATTCGTCGGCTCCAATTTTTTAGTTTTTCTGCTTGATTGTTTAAACGACAAGAGAAGAAAAACTAGAATGGGACAAATTATAAAATTCATGTCGGCAAATTCCTGTAGAAACTGTTTTAATAGAAAAGGTTGTAAAGAAAGATGAAATTCTACTAATTTTTTTATGTAAAATAGATTCTATTGGACGTTTTCTGTTTAAAAGCATAAACAGTAAAGCTGCAGAATTCTTCAATAGCATCAGCCAAAAATTAATAGAATCTTTCAATAGAACTCCAATAAAATTTTCTATTCAATTCGCCAAGTTTATTATGATATTCTATCGGGTGTGGTATTTATTCATTAGATAAAATATGAAAACGTTCTATAGAAAAAATCAATAGAGTTCAATTTTTCTACACAACATATTCTATTTCGGGTAGTGTCTATAGACACTCCTCAGCTCAAATTTTCTTAGTTTATCTATTTGATTTTTTTAATGTCAAGTGAACTATAATATAGTGGGAAAAATCGGGAATTCATGTCGAGTAATTCCTGTAATAAATGTCTCAGTGGGAAAAGTTGTATGGATAAACGAAATTCTACTGATTTATCTATGAAATGGTGTCGCACATTAATTGGACATTTTGTATTAAAAAAAGAGCATTAAAAAAGAATGAGCCAGAAACTAATAGAATTTTCTAGCAAATTCGCTAGGTTTTCCTCAGAATTTTTCGAAATATTCCTTAACATTCATTAATTCAAATTCATTGTATGGAATATTGATAGAAATTGGAATTAAAATGAATTCAGTCCTCCAATTTAGTTTCCAGTCATGAAACTCATCATCATCTCCGATAATATCCAGTAGAAATCAAGTAGTCGACGTCACTCTGAACAAAAAAGCTTGCATGAAATGTTCTTCTCCCTGAAATTTTCCGTCTCACCCTACCCCTTCGATTCTTATAGTTACTCGGGGAGGAGATGTACAACAGCAATCGCAGGGGTGACTCTCACAAGCGTCGAAACGATCACCGAGAGAGAATAAGCCCACCTAGGACCCCACAAACTGATTTCATTCGTCCTGATAACATCAGTTATGAAGACAGTCTCGATGTCGCCTTTGAACACAACAACAAACTCCGCGATAAGATCCAACAGAGAATGAGGGAGAGTGAAAACATGATTGCCACCTCCTTCGGGCAGAAAGTCACATCCAGGAACTATAAGCAGTACTACGACCCCCAGCCTGACAAAACATCCCCTGAGAAACTTAAACTCCAGGAGGACAACTTCAGCAGTATGAACTACTCATCAAAGCACATTCCCCTTGAGCCCTTGACTATAAAAAATAAAATGAATCCGGGTATGGATGGGTTTCTGGATGAGGCACTTTCGAATATACTTCATCGTAATGGAAAACATGATCATAAGTGAGTATGAGAATATGTATAAAATTTCTTTATAAGATTATAGTAGCAAAACGCTAAACCCGGTCAAGTCGATTTTCACTTTTGGTCAGTTTTTGATAAATATTGCGGAAGCTAAAAGAGTTAGCAAAATATTTGTCATGACCGTTTTTGTAGGGTCAATTGAGGGTTATAAAAAAGGTCATGACAAAAAATTTTCCATCTCTTTTAGATTCCGAGATATTCGTCACAAATTGGCCAATAGTCAAAATCGACTTAACCCGGTTTACCGCTTTGCTACTGATTTTTGGGGTCCGCGACAAAAAAACGTCAAAACGACTTGGTACAAAAAAAAACTCACGCAAACTGAACTTTAAACAACTTGAAAAAAACTTTTGGACTTTTAATGCATAAAGAAAATGCGAAAAAAAATAGAAACAAGTCCACACACATGCATACATACGTACATGCAGACATCTTCTAAAAATCGCATATTCGGACTTTTTGGGCCATATTTAGATACCCTGATACAAAAATTCAGGGGTATATAAAACAGAATAGCAATTGGGGATTATTTCAGATGATCAAAATAAAAAAAACAGCCAAGATCCAAACAACCACGTTCGAAAGATAATCCACTCGAGCCTTAACATTTAAAATTAAATATACCAACTTCGCTGCCATGGAAGAATTGATTCCCTCATCCAATACACTAATTACCCCCTGTGAATTAAGTCTTTAAGTTCATCTCAAGTCATCAATAGTACTGAAGAAACTCATGAATATCATTCACTAAATATCCCCTCTCTTTCCAGTGGATCAACGCCAATGAACGTCCTGGCGGAGTTAGCCTGCGCCCAGGTGCCAACCTCCACGACGCCATCGACCCCCAGCCCCCTGGAGAAGCCCCCCAAAGCCCCCTCAGCCCACAGCCCGCAAAAGGACCCCCCGAAGAAGCCCCGCAACCCCATCAGAGAGCTCTTCGAGCGAAAGAAAGAGCTCAACGATCGCAAGAGGTCCCCAATCCCCCCAAAACAAAGATCAAAGAAGTCAAAACACCAGGACAACTCCCCCCTCATCCGAAAGAGTCAATTCGGCGTTGGTCTCGCCGAGCGCAAGAAGCGTCACACCGAGAAGAAGCCCGAGACATCCTCAACAAAGCACCAAAAACAGGTGAAAGACATCTACGACTTCGACGAGGAGGACAGTGGAGAGACAAAATTCACATCAAAATCCTCGTACAGATTCCACTCCGAGAGGGTCTCCGACCCCATCGTCAACCACACGAAGTCCAACAACATCAACATGGTTGCTGTGATGTCCAAGACAATAGCAAAGACCCTGGACAGTCGAAAGAGCACCGAGTCCCCTGGTAAGCGCCTGGACGGCACGATCGATCGTAAATTCCAGGAGAGTGACATGTTCCTGCCAAAGACGAAGGGCGCCCTGAAGTCCTTCACCCTGGAGGAGAGGAACCAGCGAGAGAAGACGACAGGTCCAATGGACAACTTCGTGGAGCGCAAGCATCACCGGAGCAGGAGATCAACCGAGGGCTCAGGGAGAACGACGAAGACCAAGAGAAAGAGCAAGAACTCTAAGAAACGATCTCGAAATGCCTGGTACGAAGACGACAGTTCAGACGAATTCGTCACGGCGTTTAAGGCTGAAAACGTGGGTGTGGGGATAACGAAGAGCCAGAGGACGTGCTCCAAGGGCAAGCAGAACCTCTTCGCTGAGATGTCGTCGACATCGTCAGAGAGTGAACATGAGGAACTTCCAGAGGAGAAGACAGTCGAGGCTGGGGATGCGAAGTCGTTGGAGATTAACGAGTGGATGGATGGAGTCAAGGCTGGAACGAGGGACGTTGACGACAGTGAGAAGATTGAATCGGACTCACCTCTGGTGATCGACGAGAAAGAGTCCGATGGGGAGAATAACTCTGGCAACTCTGACGATGATAATAGGTCAGAACGAGGGTTCGAGCTTGATGATTTGTACAGGGAGGATAGCTCTGTAGCCAGTTCAGACTCTGAGGAGGAGACCCCGAAGGGTCTTAAAGAGAATATTCAGGAGGTGGAGAACAAGAAGTTCGAGGACAGTGAACTGATCCCCCTGGACGAGGCCCTGGTCCTTCTGGACGATCCTCAGAAGAACGAGAGGAAGTCGATGGACGATGGAGACGATAATACCGAGAAAGACGAGGGCGCTGTTGATGTTTCGACAGAGGATTTACCAGAGAAATTATCCTCCAACGAGAAGCCCAACGAAAAAACCTCAGACAATCTCCCACTCCACGTGTTTCTGAGCAGAAAAGTTCAGGAATCAAAGAAGAAGAAGGAGGAGAAACTGAAAAAACTGCAGAAAGAGAAGGAGAAGGAGATGGAGCGCGAGAGGAAACGAGAGCAGGAGGAGTTGGCAGCTGATGCTGAGAGTGAGAAAATCAAAGATCAATTTGTAGAATTCCAGTCGACCAGACGTCAAAGGAAATGTGCTATTGGTAAACAGGGACTTTTGGCTGAAATAAGCAGCTCGGATGAGGAGTACTATTACAGAGACGGTGACAGACGTGGGAACGACAGGGCTGATGATAAATCTAGGAGACAGAAGAGAGAGTCAAAGGAGAAACGCAAGGAGAGGTACATGGAGAAGAAGCACGAGTTGATGATTGCTAAGGAGCAGAAAGCCATTGAGGAGGAGATTCTCAGGGAAGTGAAGATGAAGAGAGGAAGTGAGGAGGGGGCCAAGAGTTGTGAGGATAATGAAGGCTTCAGTCAGGGGAAAAAGGAGAGGACAAAGAATTTGGGAAACGAGGGGAGGGGACGAGAGGAAAATAGAGGGAAGAAAATAGGGAACAGTGATACTGAGAATAAGTGTAATAAATTTGAGAGGAAGACTAATGGGAATAGGAGGAAGGATGAGCATGCGAAGGAGACTTCGAATGTTAGAAATGATAAGAGTGATAAGAGAGAGGTGGAGGGGATGCCTGATGGTAGTAAAAATGGAAAGAAGTCTAGGAGGTCGACGAAGCAAGTTAATAGGAGAAATAAATCGAATGGGGAGGCTAGGAGGAGCTCGAAGGAACGCAGATCTGCTAGTGGTAAGCGTGACAGTGGTGATGAGGAACTGAGAACTACGAAATCGTGGAATAAGGTGGACGAAGCTGTGGGGGTGGCTATTGGGAGGAGGAAGAGAGCTGCTGCTAATCAGTTGTATTATTGGTCGAGTTCGACTGATGATGACGAGGAGGTTGTGCCTGTGGGGCCTGTGGTGGAGGAGGAGGACGACAGGCAGGAGCAGCATGGCTGGATTGTGGGGGACTCCCACAAGAAGATGATTACGATGCTCGCGATGGAGAAGCAGCTTAAAGAGAAGAGGAGGAGGAGTGAGGATGAGTTTGAGAGTGGGAAGATGAAGAATAAGAAACATAGAAACAGTACGTCTTGATATGTATTTCATGATTAAGGGGTAAGACTTTATTGGGATGACTGTGAGGAGGGGTTTACCGAGAAGATTATTGATGCATTCGTCGCATAATATTGTTCGGTTATTTTTTGTTTCAAATCATTGGAGCAAGTGATTGGATTTATTTTCTGGGCAAGTAGCAGCGAATTTACGCAGGTGATCAGGAGCTTGTAGATGAAATAGGGGTTTTTTATGTTCAGGGAATTTACTGCCAGGAATATTCAATTAGGGGGATAATGTCTCTATCGGTTTATTTAGCAACAATAATCGACGGCTGTTGTGCTTGTTTAAGTGATAAAGGTGTCCTTGATGAATGTAAATATTCAACCTCATTTGCGATGTTGGTAGCATCCACTGGTTTAGGTTTTCAATACGATTTAATAATATTATTTAGACTGAATACGTAGGGTAGATGGTAAATGAGAATTTAAATGTGAGAGGTGTGGCATCTTTAGACAATACGAGTAAATGTTCTTCATTGTTCGTTATTTTGTGGGTTTCACCAGTTTTTGGTTGTTTCATTTGTGGTTTCTTCTTCTTCGTCGAGGAGAAATGATTATTCAAGATGGGTACAACAGGTGATTCCTTTCTTTTTTGGTTTATTGTGTTTTCAACATATCGCAGTCACATACAACACAGATCACTGTAAAAGTCTAGAATAATTATAGTAAAATTCATGAATAATGGGATGATGGGACGGTGAAAATATTTCGTAGATTTTTTTCCTTTTTCACTTTTATTTCTGGGATCTCAGCACTTTCTCAAGGATTTTTCTCATCTGAATAATTGAATCTGAGTTGCAATTAATGAAAGTAAAATAAAGTTGAAAGAATTTATGTTGTGAATCTGAAAATGATAGAGTGGGATGCACATACAATTAAATTATACAGATTTTTACGTACATACTTGAAGTAACGTGTTTAACTATATAGATGATTGAAATAAATGTGGCGATATAGACTTTATTGTAAATGTACTGCCATAATCCCAATATAGTTGACACGTATGGTGAAAAGTAATGAGAAAGCCTATGAGAGATTGAATATTCATTATTCTGTAAAAACATAAGGTTAAACAAAAAATTTTTGGCACAAAGAAACATACATTCAATGTATATAGGATCATATTTTCAGTGTGTCAGAAAAACAAGTATGTTTTGTAACATAAGTAAATGCGAATGGTAAATAAAATTACTGTAAAGAGTATAATCAATTTCTTTCTGTTGGATTTCTTTCACATTTTTGTGTCCGAATGGAAGCTTTGAAATCGTTCAAATTCAAGTTTTGGATTTTTTGTGTTATATCGACTCGATATGATCCAAAAAGTCCGAAAATACAATTTTTAGATGTCTAACAAAGTTTTTCATCAATTATTCACTAATGACTGGATGAAATTGAATCTTTTTTCTTAATTGTAGGTATTGTTGAACCCTATCAATCACCATTAATTGAATTTTAATTCATCGATTAGGTTTTTAAATTTTCGATTTTTTTCGAAAATCGGTTATCCCACGATAACTAAAAAAATTTTCTGAATTGATTGAATGGTGGCTTAAAAAATTTGCTTGGATGTCCTTCTGACCGAGTTCGAAGATGAAGGCGATAGTAATAATCATTATTTTGATTCATTTGAAAATTTGCAAAAATTTTGTATTTTTTGAAAATCAGAATTCCGGGAATATCTTTGAATATCATGCTTCGAATGAGTTAAATCAGAGCTTAAAATGTTTGTTTTAATGTCATCAAGTCGAAGTTAAAAGATGATTACGATAGCTATATTAGTTGATTTGATTTTTATAACGATTGTTGAAAATTTTGAATTTTTCATGAATTTCCCTGAAAGTGAGCTTTCTGACGGTTTCTTTAAATGTGATGTATCAAATTCATTCAAGTATGTTTAAATAAAATTTTTCTATTAACGTTTTATCGAAGGGCTAAGGGGAGAGATAGAATCATAAAAAGATAATCGGTTATATAGATGAAAAAGGCCTATATTTAAAAACTTTCGTTAATAAAACTTCGTCAAAACACCTTGGTAATTTAAAAAACTTGAACAATTTGAACTCCGAAAAACTTGAAAAAAACTTTTGAAAAATCCAAAAAATAATACAAAAACACAAGGGTAGAGCATTAATAATGCTTCAATGAATACCCACGAACGAAAATAACAAGATGAAAAAAAAAACACATGAAACACAATATTAAATTTGCAAACATCATCTCCAGTGTAAACAATATTGAGTCTCAATAACAAGTGATTTGACACGGATTCATAAGCATGACGATATAAATGACACAACTATTCCTATCCACAATACTACAAAATCTAACAAATGATCATTCATTTGAAGCACAACATTCGAAGGAAACCCTCTCAAATACTTCAGAGTAGTTTCCCTTCTCCACAAAATACAATTTCAATGAAATAAATAAGAAATATCGATTATTCTGTTCACAAGGAACCAAAATAAAACATAAAAAAACTAGGATCCTATAGACAAGCACAGGCATTACTTATATTCTTACAAAAGACAAAATAACCAAAAGTTTTCATTGAGGAAAGTTCAATTTGACAAAAGTTGAATTAATCAAAAGTTCATTTTCCCAAAGTTGATTTAACCAGGTTTTTTTGACAAATTTTTTTTTACAACGTTTTTTAGACGTGCTCCTGACGAAAGGAATAATAAGAATAATGATGATAATGACATTCAACTAACTTGAAAATCTGACAATATTTGTTTAAAAAAATCTTATTCAATTCAATAAAATGATATAAACAGTGAATTATACATGATAGAAGGAAATGATGTGCAAAATAGCTATTCGAAACCATATTGCTAATTTATTAGCAAAAATAACTACTATGCGCAATAGAAGAGTAATTTCCCACTTGTTTTCATAAACCTATAAATTTCATTATTCATTAAAAATGCAGATAGAGAAGAGAATAATAATGAATAATAATGATGAATAATTTGAACCATTAATTCAAAATGTCTCCTAAACGAATAGCTGGAATCTTCATTGGATTTATTCATTGATTCATCTCTCTAAAAATATCTTCAAAACTGGGTTTAGGGAAAAATTTCGAAAGATTTTTCATTTCATAAAATTTTCCATTTTTAATAATTCCACTTGAAAATCCATAAAATCACAGACTGCAATTGGATGAATAAACAAAACGATGAATAACTTTTCAAAATATATATCAGATTAATATATTTTTTCCAATAATTTTTTTTCCTTTGATTTTCATATTTTCCACAACAGTTCAACAATTACAAGATCACGTCTAAAAGTTTATTCATATGTATAATTTCCACTGTTTCTACGCCTACCGGTGATTGGCAAAGAGGAGACACAGCGACTAAAAAAATCTATTGAAATTCCTTGTTACATGTTACATGTTCCATGTCCGTAACACCGAGTATAAAATTTTTTTTCTCATTAACGATCAACAGTCGTCTATAACAAATCGTTGTAATGATTTCAGTTACTTTAGCTTGTGATTTATTATTTCAGTGTTTGTTGATTAGTTTCAGTCGCTCCTCTGGGTCTACGCATCTGTCTGTCTACAAGGATAATTATTTATTGTTAATGGCTTCTTTATTATAAAAACATGGACGTTTTCGGCTCTTTACTGGTAATAATGACTGACTTTCAACGAATTAGTGGAACATTGTCTTCATTTTCTGGCTTAGAGTTACGATTACTTGTTGAGTAACAGTTATTTATTCTTTTTTTCATGACCATTGATTATTAAAACGTTAAAATGACGTCTATATCCATAAAATGAACATTTCTAGAGGTAAATGGAAAAGTAGACGAGATAAAATTCCCAGTAGGTACATTAATAAAATGTCACATCCAAAAATGATAAAAAATAATTACTACAATCGTTACTATCTCTCTTCCACACTTCTTCATTGGGTGTCATTCGACTTTTCATGAGCACTTAGAGTTTATGTTACTAATTTCTTACACTTATTAATACTGAATTCTATTCTCATCTTCGGACACTTCGTCAAAGCAAACTACCGTGTTGATGGATTATTCATCATCCGAGTAAATAGAAACATTGACAAATTGGTAAATAAAAAATTTCATCCCCTTTGGGATTAGCTATAAAACTACTATACATTGAGTTACTTCTTATTTTCTTAGTTTTTTATCCGCACTGAATAATTTGAGCTGTCGATGAAACTTAAGTTCTTAGGGAAGTGGTGAAATGGTTCGAGACGGAATATCATGTGTTGGTTACTGGGGAATTATTTCGGTTATTAGGGCTTCGTGAGAACATGCTGAAAGACATTTTTTGTCGAATTTGTTCAATTATAGAGGGCTCGTGACGATTTTCTTCTGGCAACACTCGGTTTTAAGATTGACGTGGTAAGTAGAAAGTGGAATTAAGGGTCAACAGGTTCAGACGGTACATTTGAGGATTTTTAACGGTCAGATTAGTCAATAGGATTGTGCGAAAAAAAATTCAATGAATTCATGAACAATCGAGATATCACATCTGAGCAGACTCACGCCAAATCAGCAGTAGTAAAAAGTCGATGCTGGGGATTTTTGTCTCAATTTTTTTCTGAAAATACGGCGATTAGACAGAAATTTGGAAAGAAGAAGAATTGAAAAATTTAGATAATTGAGGGAGTTATGATTTTTTGAAAATTGCTAGTTTTTGTTCAAAGAAATTTTTTTTCCCAAATTGGCAAAATAATACAGACTCATATGAAAATGAACTTTTCGAGGTTGAGAACATCAAAATCTCGAAAAATCCGAAAAAATACATGAAAGTTATCGTCAGTGTCAAACTTTGGTAATAAATAATTCATATTTCTGCGTGCCCAAAATGGCGTGTTATGTCGAAGCACTCTAATCAAATGCAGGACTATTATTTTAAAAAAATAATTGAAGAAAGAATTTAATGGATCAGTTTCTTACCCACAATCATTTGATTTGAGAGAACTCCATAGGTTTATATCGTCGCATTAAAATCAAAGGGGTGTAAGTGCCATTTCTCTGAGATTTTTTTTCTCTTAATACCAAAGGGGCGTATGTTTTTTTTTC